ACGCTCACGTCCGTGGGTCCTGGTCCTTGCTATGAGCGAGATGAGTAGGTCCGCAGCTGCAGTAGCGTGCCACTTTTTTCTCTCTCATGTGCACGGAAACGGGGCTCTAGGCACCCTGGCGCCGTCTCCATGCTCCGCCGGCACGGCCAGCTACACGCCTAATCATGGCCAAACCCGCTACTTTTCTGTGCCTTCTCACCCCTGGTTGTTCTCTACTGTTGGTAGTGAGTTTCACTGCGGGACCGCAGGTATCGACGCAAGTGCTGCGCATTACGGATAGTCTGGTAGAGTATGGAGACGGCACCAGGGAATCACTACCCTCCAAATGCTGTCGTACACTTTTAGCAGAGGCTACTGCACCTGTGGACAATTCACCTCGTACATGAAGACCATGCTCGAAGGCAATTCGTCTTCAAGGGTACCGTCCACGAGGTCGGCAAGACTGCTACTGCAGAGGCGTGAATGTTTACGGTATAAATGCAAATGACGTGTTTCATGATTGGCAACGCCCCATTAGGACAATGGACAGCTACGGCAGGTGATACCCAAAAAATAACGGATCATCCTTTTCTACAACCACCCTCGCGTTTGTGCTTGTCGTCTAGCCTCTCTTCCAAAAGCTCGGTGTACTCCTGGTTACCGCACGCTTACACAACGCTCAATCAATTCCGAAATCAAGCGGTTATGTGTTTTTAGGTAGTCTACGTGTTTGATTTCGGATTGGCTCGTCAAATACTAATCCCAGGAGAAGGCGGTCAGTTAAAATTACGCGAGCCCAGAAACAAGGTAACGGAAACTGTTTTGTAAGAACCAGTTCTGAGAGAGACTTCTGTAAGAACTGTTTTGTTGAGATACAACTTTTCCTTCTTTGTGAGCGGACAAAGACAATCAATGTTCCTAACTTGTTGGCGAGTTCCCTGTGACACTAACATTCCCTCTTTATGTCTTTCATGCAAGGACGGGATACATTGAGGAGGGGGATAGCGATAGGTCACCACGCATCTTCGCGTAGATTTGCGCGTGCAATGTCCGCGCCATTTGACAACAAACTCTACACTCACCTCCGAACACGCCCCTTCCCATGTGCGAGATGAATGGATTCCGAACTGCTGTAGTGTGCTTCGCTCAGATGTGAAAGGGAACGGGGTTGAAGGTTGATAGCACCCAAGTGCTGATCTCGCAGCGCAAAACGTGCTTCGCGGTAGAGACAATCAGAAGTGAGAGCGCAGATAAGTAGCGCTTTTGACTATGGTCAGGCGTGTGACTGGCCGTGCGGCAGCGCGGGCAGAGATAATAGACGACGCCCCTGCAAATGGATGGACCATTATCCACGAAGGTTAGTAAACAGGCAGTCGAAACGTGTGGAGAATGTGGCAGGAAGTTGAGCAAACTTAGGAAGAGGGAAGATGGGATGTAGCCATGGGAAAGATGGGGAGTGCGTCTGAAGACGGGGGGGGGGCATTTCGCACTTTCGCTACTTCCCATCACTGTGTCGACCTATCTAGGCAGCCTCTTCGCATGTACAGGTTTGTTCCCTGATGCGCCTAGAGGAGCTTGCTCAGCTTCACAAGAGTTCACAGGTTTCGCCCAGAATGGAGACTTGTGACTCGAAACTACGCGGAAGCCACATCGATGAGTAATAAAAATTGCCTCCCTTCCCCCCCCCCGTCGTCAAACAGCGCCTCACTCAAATCACGCCTACTGCTGTCTTGATCAATTCGCGTTCAAATATTAACGCCTCCGTTCTAACAATGGCTTTTGTCGTTTTCGCAACACTTTGCTATCGCATTTGCCATAAAAGGTTTCCATCTTATCCATCTATTCTTGATTGCGTCAGTTATGTTCCGTTGGAAGCGGCTTCGATATTGTTCGTTGAATGCTGCTCAATCTAAAGAACGAGTCGATGATGATTTGTAAGTGCATTTCTATATTGAAAAATATGCGAACAGTCAGGGAGAGGGGAAACATGGTGATTCACTGCTCTGGTTGCTTGAGTTCCATATATGAACTACAGTACACTCTCATGCTTTTCGGGTGGTTCCGAAGACGCCATTCGAAATCGCCGCTGCGTGACCCTTTTCTGACGTCTGCTTACGAGACAACTAGGATTTGTTCTGGCGCGAAAGACCGGAGCGCAGAGAAACAGAGAATCGCGGCTGCTGAGGCATCAAAAGTGCGCAAAAAAAACATGCCCCTAGCCAGGGCGTAAGCTTTTACAAGGGCTCCGGGGTAGATGACTGTCTTAGGGGCGTACATAAAAGTTTGAATGGGTACGGTAAGTGTGACCAAATAATAACATGTAGACAAGAGAGCGCAGAGAAAAACAGAAAGTGGGCACGTTAGCGGAATTAAGTTTGAGTTGTTCGTAAACCTCGGGCAGTTGTCCTAAAACGGCTAGAAGGCGCATCTACGCATACACGGTGAGAGAGCACGTCACAGCGTGCTTGATTGAGCGCTACGTAGCTACGAAGTGGTACAAGAGTCTCTGTGAGTAATTAGCCATGGGGAGCTGGAGAGAGAAGAAGTGGCCTCGGCAGCAGCACAATTGGAACGCAGCCCGACGCGGCGGAGCGGTAAAAGCAGGTTGAATCCCAGTCCATGTCCGCAATTTGGGCCCACAGCTCAGTCATTTTTCTGGTAACTTTCGCATCTGTGAAGTATAGCCGCTTCAGGATGTATACAGCAGAGTCGATTGACCGCCTATGCTCTTTTATACACACCCATTTCTACTCTCCGTCATCTCTGAGGCCGACTTAATTGCATTAGCGTAGGAAGCTTGCTGCCCTCACGGTTCAAGGAACGAGGTTGTACGCTACGCCCTCCGAGGCGGTCCTGCTGGCGCGGCCGAGCTACACAGTTGCAGCAGCGCTACGTTCCTGCCGGTAAACAGGTGCAGGAACGATGTGGAGGGTATTGATACCTGGCGGAACCGACTGTCCATACTCGCCCTGCTGCTGCCAAACACGATGCTAATAACAAACGCGCTCCTATTCTGTTGCCTTTCTCACTTCTAATTGTTTCCTACCGCGACCAGTGCGATGCAATCTTGTCAGTCTGAGAGCTTGGTGTCGACGCAAGTGCTGCACGCTGCGAATAGCGCGGGGGAGTATGGAGTTGGGATCCGAATATCACCACCCTAGTTCGCCGTTCCCTACACTCTTGATGTCGGAAAAAGTTGGCACGTCACTGCCCGGCTGCGGACCCTCGCCTCGGTACATGGAGGCCCTTCTTTCCGCGAGGTGAATGTACAGTTTGCTTTCAGTCATGCCTCAGCTATTTCATGAGGAAGGAATACGTGACATTTACCAATATAATTTATGCTGGCGGCCGCTTTATTCTTTTATGAGATCCTTCCAAAGCAGAAATTACAATCGATTGTTCAAGGTATGGTGCGCTATTTTCCATGATCGAATGTTTAACAGCTACTCTGCCCTGGAAGGGGATGGTTCGAAAGGAGGCAGCAAAAGTCAAAGAGAACACAAGTGACAGTGCTTTATGTAAGGTTAGCCCTCAAGCCTTCGGGGTTTGCAAAGCGAGATGACTGCCATACTTCGCGACTAGAGAGATTCAATCGCGCGATTCGCGAACCGGGCTCCACCGCTGGTCCTTGGACTGCTGCAACTGCTGACTCCTCTTCCGTGAACCCTTCAAATCCGGAAGTAAAGTCTCCAAATTCAGAAGGAAACTTCTTCAGCTCGGCCCAGCGGTTCAAGCGGCCCGGTTGGGAATCGCGCGACTGAATGGCTCGAATCGTGAATTGTGAACACGACCTCGATAAAACCATGTCAGCAAGAGGCAGTGACATTCGTACTTCTCGTGTGAGGCCTAGTCCTCCTTCAGATTATTTCTATTAAGGGTTGTCCGCCTTCGTTTCTGGAAATGGCGAAAGCCCTTCGAAAACTGACTTATCATGATGTTCCTCCATATAAAAACTTCATGGAAAAATTAAAGCAGGACTTACCGAGCAAATTAAAAATGTAAGTGATAGGTGATATCCATGGACCTCAAAGGCATAGCCACTATAATCGTAGAGAAGTGGGCGAAGAATCATGACTCTTTCGCCTTTCTCATTGGTAGCCCTTTTGATGGACACTTCCCCGCGATCAAGTGCTATGGGTAGCAGGTCCTCAGGCATGAATCAGTGGCCCAAGCAACTCCTCAGTGAAGAAAAAAGCGAAAAAACCTCGGAAACACTGAATAAAGATCCCCTTAGCAGTGGGAGCCTTGGACGAGTTTGTCGACAAGCCCAATCAGCACGATTCGACGTGCAACGAATCCCCCACTGGAAAACCCTACGAGGCTCCACACAACGCTAGGTACAACGCAATTCGGCTGTCGTTGCAATGGTTGCAATAATACGGACAACTAGGCCAAATATACGGAGGCATTTCGGATCACTTGATCGCGGCAACTGTCTTTAACCCATTGCGTACCGCGTGCTGCACCATGTGCAGCACGCTCGTTTGCCTCTGTATGGCCGCGTGCTGCACATGGTGAAGCACGCTTCGAACTAATCTAGCATTGTTAGATGATAGAAAAGAGTCGGTATATTCCTGGCGTCCCTGGGACAAAACATGTGTATGGAGAAACTGTGGGATTAAATAAGAACTGAATAACTGACAGAAATAAAAAAATTTTCAAAATACTTCAGCTACTATACTCTTTCTCTGATTCTCATTTACCAAGTAAACCGAAAACCTGGTTATGACACGATTGAAAATTCGTAAAATTGTCTTACTGAACAATTTCTCAGAAAATTGCGTCATTTTCAACTATTTTTAGTTTTATCAAGCTTTTTGGCTAGTTTCGCACTTTTTTCGGCTCATCGCTTTTACCACGTAACAATATTGAATCCCACTTAGCATATGTCTACATATAAAAGTGATGCGACGTGTGCACAATATTTATATATTATCTGTATAAGATAAAAATCTTATGTGTTTATACTCAGCGCGCCACAAGTCGCGTCGATAAAAAGGCGTCGGCCACAGGTGCCGATTAGCGCGAAAACCCCGCAGTACGCAATGGGTTAATATAGCGAAGAAAGGAGCGCTTATGAAGAAGACACAATAGCCATGAGTCTTGGTCCATTGATCCGCTTATCAAAGATATGACATCCAATTGTTTCGACTCACGTGACGACCTATGAGTGGAATAAACCTGGTGAAAAGCTCGTCGAAGGTGGTGGTGAGCACGTTAAAAGTGATCGTGCTGAAGCTGATAAGGTGATTTTTACCCGTTTTTTCATACGCCCTGAAGTCCGGTAGGTAAGGACGACCTTAGACAAGTCTGCGCGACATCGCGATCCCCACGCGTGCAAATACTGAACGGAACTCTGTAAATTTGAAACCAGTTGTTATTTTCGAAGAAATTAGATATTGGAAAGGACTCCTCTAGCAAGTTCGAACATGAAAAAAGAAAGGCCGTTAAGGCTGGATTAATATATGACACCGGTACAAGGAACTGGTATAAAAGGGCTTTCTAAAGCGAGTCGAAAATTTCTTTGCGCTTGCTGTTCATACTCTGAAGCTTCTTCGCTATCCAACTCTCAATCATTTTCTGTTCCTGGCGTACACTGGATTTATTTGTGTAGTCCTATCGTTCTGAAGATTTTCTGAAAATACCCATTGGGTCAAATTTACAATGTCCCAGTTCGTGTTGGCCCGTGACGATCGCGATGTCGCACGGCAGAATCTACGGAAGCTTTGTGTATAACACTTTTGGTCGGAACTTCGTAAGGAAATCAGCAGTTTTCAGATGCACCGGTGCTGTTTGTGCGCAGGGTACAGCCTGGTGTTGGGGACCCTTTCCCCCAGCCCCCCTTCCTCCTTGATTAGTCGATAAGGGAAGGACCCAATTTCGGATTACACAGAAATAGGTACTCAAAATTGCTGCACGCGCGACCATGCAGACTAAGGCGGTTATCACAGCGTTTTCTACTCGGGCAAAATAATAATCAATAAAAACGTTTGCCTAGTCCAGATGCGAGTTCCGTCTCTAGTAGATCCTAAGGGTGGGCGTGACCTGTATGTGCACTCCTTATTCAGGACGGGGAGGGACTGTAACAACCGTATCCTGCTTTGTTCAAAAACGTGATTACAATTGTACAAGATCCAAAATATACACCAAATGCGCAGCAGCGACGCCCTCACGTGAAAGTATGCGACACGCGCCCTCTCCACTTAAACGGATAAAGCAAAGGAAACTGTCGAAAACGTCTTAGATAGCACTATCTAATTTACATTTAATTGGCTGTTACACGAGCCTACGGTGGAATAACACACCATCCCTGGATGGAGAAATAACACAACAAACGCGAGAGTAAACTAGAGAGCGGGATAGGTATTCCAAGTGCGGCACTTGCAGTAGGTGCCCTATTCTTCAGCGGGCGTGGGCAGTGAGTTAGAAACCTCTGGCATTCTCCCCGTAGATTTTCACTCTACGATCGACGTCGGAGGTAATTTGAAGGCGGTGGGCTGGGGACGGACGGTTACTGCCAGCGTCACTGGAGGAAGGGCAGGTTGCGGTGTGGCCAAACGCCACCTCGCGGACATTCCACCATTGACTTCATCAGCAACCCGCCCCCAGCCACTATGCCCACTGCCTCTGAATCTGGCCTCCTTTTGTAGACCATTTGGAGCGTTGGGCGAGTATGCAAAGAATTGAGTGTTGGAGAGGCTCAGTCCGCACGGGCGAGAGACCAGGCCCAAAGCGCGACGACAGAAAACAACGCATTAGTTGGTGGCATTCGTTCCTGTGCAGGGCGGGGTCACTCGTCGTGGTGGGTGTAACCGTTGCGGCGGTGATGGTACCTAGCTGTGTGGGCCACAACACTTTCTACAAAATTATGGTTTTGGATTAAAAAAATGCCTGGCATACCATACGCGGAAACAGTCAATATAAGCTCACATCAGTGTCACTTTCCTTGGCGCTGGTAATTTTGAAGATACTGGTTTATAGTTAAAGAGATCTTCTTCACAGGATGGCAATAAGGACAACACTACAGTAAATGAAGTTGATGAGAGTATCGTTACCGAAGAAAGGAACACAAATCTGAGTAGTGATCAAGACGACTTCGCCAAGGAAGACACCCTTGAAGGGCTTTAAAATTAAAATATTACCCGCCATGTTCTACTCTAGATATAAAATATTAACATTTTTTTATTTGGGCTGTGGCATCACACTTTCATGACCTCTCATGAAAGGGCTCAGGGTGTACATTATAAGGAACATTGCGATGGTTGACGGTGTACTTCAGTTAAACCAAGAGCGAAAGAAAGCAAGCTTGATCATGTGCGCGGCATGCGCACCAGGGACCAGCTTCTTCAAGGTGGCAATGTATAAGGTGGGCGGGAAAGTTCTGTCACATTTTTCAAATTAGGGTTTCTTTTCACAGGGAGGCATGCAAGATCAAAATTGTACAGCAATGTTACTGCGGGATGTAACAGATGGAATTGTAGCAGCTAACGGGTTACTGGAGGGTCCTTCGCCACACGCCTTTGAGCACTTCATGGAATGCCAACCGCTTCACCAATGCAGGCGGGCGCGAACCGCAAACGTTGGACACCATCTCAATTTGACTTGAACTCGGGCTATGGAGGTTTTCTCGTCCACATAACGATTGAGTACGGGAGGCAACTCGCAGTTAGAACGGAGCAATGTCTGTGCTACACCAGTGCAAAGGGAGAGCCATCCAGCTCTATTGCATGAGGTAGGCGCGCTCGACCTTTTTGGACGGAGTAGGCTGCATTGCCAGGTTGAAGACGGACTGTGCGGACGAATTTTTCCCACTGATCGACGATTCCCTTCAGATCTCGTATATGCTTTGCGTACGCGCTGACCGAGGTATCAGCTTCTTCTTCCAGCAATTTCACGACCCGCAGCTCCCTCAATCTGAGTTCACAGGTAACCCAAACCTCACTTCGTCATCAAAACTGTAGGCTCCCGCTTTGAAGCATTAGCGTCGTGGAAGGTTGTCCGATAATTGAGGGCATCGTCCTTATTCAGCTCCATTATTTTGGCATCTGCAGCTATCATGCTGGCGTCAAGGTGGTGGAAGAAAGTGTTTAAGGAAGCGTGGGGTCGGTGCCGATGGTAGCGGATAAAATCCTTGTCCATATTACAGAAAACGAAGAAGAAGCAGGAGTCAAGCGAGTGGTACTAATAGAAAGATCACTCCTTGACGTATAAGTGCTCACAACACCAGTTACCCCTCTTCAGGTAATGGGCAAGTATTTTGAGTTCGGAAAAAATGTGACAGAACTTTCCCGCCAACCTAATAGCATCTGTCAAGCAAATTAACAAGAACAACTGCGTTTTCGCATGCGATGCCGTCGAAGTCCTGAACTAACCCAGTTGTGGCACATAATTCATAAATGACATCTTCGTTCACTTCCAACTTCGATGCCGGACAACTAGATCAACTATTACAACCCCCTCTCAGAAAATTTCTGCTCAGACTTTGCCTGAAGTGACATTCAATGCCCCCGATCACGACTACAAATTTCGTTTAAGCCACGGCCGCGCAACTGGGCAGCACAGGGCCGCGTGAGGGTGACGGTAAACTACAGACTCGCACTTGAGCATCCGGCCTTTGCGAGCGCGCGGTCGCGGCGCGGTTTCGGCGCTAGAGCATCATAATCAACCACCGCGACCAGCGAGTAGCATCTTAAGTTGACTACTATGAACTCAACATGGGAATATCACCACACTATACTCACAAAAGCATCGAATCTTGTACAGTAATGTTTATGATGTGGCGTCTCCCACTAAATTTGCGTTGAACTGGAGGTAAAGTCGAGTAAGGAGGAACAAACGTCTCCTTATCATGTTTAGGCGCCTCGCCCATCAATATGGGGACATTTCCTCTAAAGTGTACCCGCTTCCTTAACTTTAAGCATTCTGCGCTCGAAATGGCTTCTTCAAGAGAGCAGTTGGAAACAGCTTCTGTACACTTCATCAATGTCGTAGCAATTCAATCAATTTTGCACGTTCATTTTGCGGGTCCTGCAATTACATGCCTTATTAGAATGTGGCATTTTGTGAGTTATACAGTGCTCCTTCAGCAATGCGAAGCAAACGGCACCTTTATACGCAACGCTTCTCACAGAGTACCCTATCTGGGGAAACGGCGACAGGGAAATGGATCTGGTTGTTTCAAATAATTCCCGGTTGTATCAGTGGAACCGTTCTGGTGAAGCACTGTGGCCAGCTTTTGGATGTGACCCATCAAGTTGGTTGAGTACGGCGAGACTTTCTACATTCCTTACAGTGATTGACATCTGAAAAAAAGATTACACACAATGGAGACCAAAAGGGTTTTCGCTCTTGAATGGGTGATGTATACATTATAACAACGAGCACTGTGCAAGTCATGTAAAGCGATTCAAATTGAAACATCTGTTTTGCTTCCTTTGAGCTTCGTCAGGTGCGCGCCTGATCTTCGATTATGCAAAATACGACCGCTTTCATACTTCGCGGTTGTGCGACCGTATGAGCGCGCGCAGCATCTTCAGGGTAATCGTGACGGGACCCACGCTAGGCATACTCAAGTTGCGAGTCTGTAAGTTTACCATTACGTCAACTGGCACCCACTTTCCCTAAACACGCTTTTCACCAGCAGTGTCAATGTAAACTCGCCTACTACGGTTATTCGACATCCTTATTACAAACAAGACATCGACTTTCAGAGCCGGAGCCATTTAGCGTTCTGCTAAGGCCGAGCCCTGGAAGAAGCGGTTCCTCTTTCCAAGCATAGCTCTAGAAAGCGCAGACGACCATAATTTTGCCAAACCCAGTTCCAGAATCTGCATTGATTGTATAGGTGATCAGAATGTCAAATAATCCCAGTTTGCAAGTGTGTACCGATTCCGATAGAAAAGGTGGTGATGCCGAATTGGCGTCTGCTGGCGCTGGCGCCAAATACGGTAGTCATGTTCGTGATCCGAGGACTTTCCGCACCCCTTTGGCCCATGCCGACCCCCACCGGCTGCTAGCTACTAGCTAGTAGCCACTATGCTATCTCTCTCCATTCCGAATGGTGAGAGTGAGGTGATACGATAAAAGAGCTGATATCTTTATGATAACGACGAGTGGAAATTCGTACAAACATGCGTTTTCTTCATTGCATGCATGTACAAGTTGGGGTCGATATGGAATCCTATTTAGGGCATTTTCGGACTGTTTTTCTGCTGCTTTTCTCCGCTAATCAGTTGCCTTGCATTTTTTCGTACCTTTACTTAGTGCTGCTCCGTACCTATGTGAGTTCCGTTACCCGCAACCTGTGATAGCGGGTTTTTCCCTTAAGTGACCGCCATGGACTAAGTTTCAGTGGAAGTTTTTGAGGTTGTAATGGTTTCATAGTGCCGATCCTTGGTCATCATATCAGGATAAGGATCAGTCGAAGGGATGGGAACTTGAAACCTCTTCCCTCAAAGACTACTCTCCTCCAGCATGCAAACACGACCCCCTTCCCTGATGTGGATTCCGCAACGATGGTGTGAGAGATGCGGACAGAGAGAATCGGGCCCATTGACACCGCCACCCACCAAGTGGAGTATCGAAGAATGAGCGGGGGTAGCCTCAAACGTGGTGATCTGATGTGTCGGCAAAACCGATTCGTACCTAAACCTTTTCGAGGATTTTCCGTTCATCTAATCCTTACATTCTATAAAGCAGAAACTTTGTGTGTCGGTTTGTCGGTATGTAGGTATGTATGTATGTATGTATGTCGGTTTGTATGTCTGTCCGTCCGCAAAATGCTTTACGGGATTAAACACGTTAGTGAAACGACCGCTAGCCAAACCGGGAACCCATCGGTGCAGATGTATCAATCCAATGTTTTGATTGTGATAACAGCATATATAAGACAACCACTCGGTACACTCCGAGCCATTGCACGAGCTGCTGCCGTGGCAGCTGGACGTGTGCTCGTGCGGGGGCAGGGTGGGGGTGCCAGGTCGCCCTGCCTCCTTCTCCTGCATGTGCTCAGCCGAGCTGAGCCCACAGTATTGGACGGGAGCAGAGGGAAGGGTCGCTGGGGAACGGGGGGGGGGGGTACAGTGAGGGGTGCGTAGCGCGCGTTTCAGTAGAAACGCACACCAGTGGATGAGGAAACAACCGCTAGCAAAACTGTAAGCCAATCTATGTTACCGTAACGAACTAAGAAGTTGTTTTGGTTGTGATAACACTCTCCACTATATAAGAAAACCACTACACTCCGAGCCATGCACGGGTTGCTCGCGTGGCAGCTGGACGTAAGCGCCGCGGCAAGGGCAGCCGGAGCTTGGGGGGGGGGTGGAGTGGCGAGTACGGAATGGGGTGAGGTGAGGAAGGTGGGAGTTAGTATCGAGTGACCCCTTCTCCCATCCTCACTTCCTTGCGCGTACTCAGTCGGATCTGAGCCCATGCAGGGGAAGGAGGCATATGGATTGAATCGGGCAAACTGGGTACAGTAAGGGGATGCGTAGCGTACGCTTGGATAGGAGCAGGCGGCAAGACAGAAGGAAAGAAACCCTAGCAAAACTGGCTCATCCATGTTACAGCAACGAACTAGGAAGCTGTTCGGATTGTGAATAGCTCCCCTATCTAAGCCAACCACTGTGATAGACTCTGTGCTATTGCAGGAGCTGCTCGCTTGGGAGCTGGACGTGAGCACGAGCAAGGCGGTGGTAAGAACAGTGGCGGCGTAGTGTCCCTATGTTGCACCAGCTGCTCACGTGGCGGCTGCATCCACGTGCGGGAGTGGGCAGTTTAAATAGGAGTCACTGCTCGCGCATGAGTTGTGGTCGAGTCGGGATACCAGATGAGAACGCGATTTCGCGATTAGGAGCACATAGCGCCTGCGGCGGTAAGGCGTCTACGGTTGCGATAAGATGGGAAGAAAATGGATCGACCGCAATCGGAACTGAACCGATTAATGTTGCATTATCAAATTGTGGTAGCGTTTGATAGTCATAACACCTCCACAACATAACACAACCATTTAGTGCACTCAGAACCATTGCACGGGCTATTCGCGTAGCAGCTGAGCGTGACCTGTAGGGTGGCTGAGCGGGGAATAGCTGAGGTTAGTTTGGGGATAGGTGAGGTGAACGGGTACCATATTG